CACACTCACACAACTCCACACTCACACTCACTCACACTCCACACCACACTCACAGCCTGGCTGTATATGCTTAAAATGAAATGAATGCTGTGAGGTTTCACATGAGCACTACCCACAATGCACTAGAACAGGTGAAAAGGTTAAAGTCATGTCTGGCTTCCCCATTAACATTCGCAGCAAAAGCTTTGTTTTCCGACACCTTATGCGCTGCGAGCGTCGAGAGCCAAGCCCGTAAAAGATAGTCTGAATGGCTTCAAAGGTATCCCTCATCTCCTTTGGATAATCCATGTTCATTGCAAAGGCAGTAGAGAGGTCTGGTAGGTCATGCCAATGGTCCCTTCCAACACCACTGCCACGTCTCGCACATTGGGCGATATGGCGGCATCATCATCTTCAATGACGGTGAGGATGGCCACAGACACACCTCTGAGCAATCGTCCTTCATGGTCAGTGTCCTGAGGAAAAGTCAAATCTGCATGAATGAGTGCTCTGGAAAACTCAACGACAAAAATACATATCCACTGATTCTAACTTAGCACCAAGCTACTGAGCCTCACCATTCAGCTCACCAGCACGGCTGCTATCACAACACCAACCTTGTTGTGCCGAGTTCTACAAAGAACACCAGACAACAGTGGCCAGCCGGATGGGGTTGGCTGTTGCTCAAACGGCGCTGATATTTAATTTGTATTTTGGGTGAACTCATCGCGCTCCGGGGTTCATGAGGTGAAACAATCTCTGGGCTCAAAATGAAATCTTACACAAAGTGTATTGTGCATAAAATGATTAGCATAAGCTATGAGGTCATAACATGTTTAAGCTACATTAAGCAATATTACTTGTATTGTGTGACGGTTTATTTCCTACAGTTAGTATTACTTACCACATCTCGGCAGGCCTCTCAGTGCTGCTGTCTTTCGGTGAGACACCATGTCGGATGTCTGAGGAGTACCCAGTGGAAAACACACAAAACATATCAATTAGTTAGTGCCGTCGTGAATTTATACAAATCCGACTTCTGTCCTCCTGTAATGAGGAGGATAAAGAACAGCTCTCCGATTCCAGTAACATGCTTCAGTAAAAGACTGGCTTTTCTACTTTTACAAATTAAAAATACTGTTATAGTTCTCAAATTCCACACCAACTAAGAACACCAAGCAATGACTTTTAACATCCATTTTTACTGAAGTCTTTCCATCAAAGCGTTTTTGCTCCTCCAAATGTTAGGCGAAGGAGCATTTCATATTTTCAAATGGGGGGAAAGGGCTTTGGTCCTTTGGTGGACCAAAGCCCTTTGGTCCACCAAAGGGACCCGGCTCCAGCCATTTTCCCCTCACCTTTTGCATGCTCTTAGATTGAGGCACTTCACTCACTTGTTCATCAAGTTTTTCAAAGAGGTCTTCCATCTTCTGTCCAAAAGCTCCATTCCTAGCCCGCTACAGTTTCAGCAGGCAAGGCACATGTTTGTCAAAGGCTGCACCGAGCGTCCCCAGGAGGTCTTTGCTGCTGATCCGATGAAATTCTTCAGATATCTGAATACAATAACAAAACAATGTAATTTGATTGTAACCACAATGCCATGTTTTTTCTGTGCAGCAAATTCCTGGGTAGCGTCTTGTTCAAAGTCTGCATCATCTGAAGGGGATAGTTTGGATGTTTTGAATAAAAACAAAAACTGGTATTACAAGTTTGGGGACTGATTGGAAAGTGGGGCGTAGTGTGTTGGAGGGGCCTGGAGTGGAGTGGTAGGGCAGGGTATAGTATAGTTTGCCAATTGACTGACATACACAGTCAGTGTGAATACAGGGCCAGTTCGCACCTTTTCCGTGACGAAGGCCACAATGTTTTAGAAGAGTCTCTTGATTGGAGCCTGCACTGCATGTGATCCACCCGAAACACAAGAGACACATATAGGACATTCAGTTCAGTCAGCAACTGAATGTCTCTCTCTCTCTCTCTCCTGACAGCCCGTCAGTATGTCACGCAGCTCGCTACTCCAGTAATGAGTGACCCGACAGTGAAGAATAAACATATGTATAACTAGTTTAGCTAGTTCCAGAGGTAGATACAATAGCTAAGTGTGTTAGGTCTAACTTGAAACGTGTGTTTTGCTCCGCTCACCGGTCCGTTACAGCGGCTGACCCTGCTCAGACCCTGCTCAGACCCTGCTCAGACCCTGCTCAGACCCTGGGGAAACCCCGTAGACGAAAGCAATGCGCATCTGGGTTTTCATGGAGGAAAATGTGACTGCAACGGTCTTAACTCAAAAATCCTTGTTATACTGTGTTTTAAATACAAGTAGGCCTATAGGGGAGGGGGGGGGGGGGGGGGGGGGGGGGAGGGGGAGAGTTGGTCTCACGTTGGAACAATGTAAATTCATTGTAGGGAATTTCAACGTTGAAAAACCGGCATCTATATTAAATTGATTCAACAACACACACGATTAACACATCGAATCAACATTGATTTTTCAACCTCAACCAAAAATAACCAATTTAACCAAAATCCGATGTTGAATTAATGTCTTTTGCTAGATTCTGGGTATGTCGATGAACATTGTGTGTGTGTGTGTGTGTGTGTGTGTGTGTGTGTGTGGTGTGTGTGTGTGTGTGTGTGTGTGTGTGTGTGTGTGTGTGTGTGTGTGTGTGTGTGTGTGTGTGTGTGTGTGTGTGTGTGTGTGTGTGTGTGTGTGTGTGTGTGTGTGCAGGTAACGTGGTTCTGGAGAACCTCAGGGTTAAGGAGAACGCGCTGGTAAGCCCCGTCATCACTTACTAACTGAAATAAGCTGTAGCAATGATACATGGTGTGAATATAACTGAATGAAATATTAAATATGTTTGTGTTTCAGAGTGAGTTCGATGTTCCATTCAGAGTGAAGGCCGGACAGATCGGTGAGTTCAGACATCACACCTGAACATCAGCAGGAGAGGACTATTTAAAGTAGAGACACTACATACTGATATACACCTGAACATCAGCAGGAGAGGACTCTTTAAAGTAGAGACGCTACATACTGATATACACCTGAACATCAGCAGGAGAGGACTCTTTAAAGTAGAGACACTACATACTGATATACACCTGAACATCATCAGGAGAGGACTCTTTAAAGTAGAGACACTACATACTGATATACACCTGAACATCAGCAGGAGAGGACTCTTTAAAGTAGAGACACTACACACTGATATACACCTGAACATCAGCAGGAGAGGACTCTTTAAAGTAGAGACACTACATACTGATATACACCTGAACATCATCAGGGAGAGGACTCTTTAAAGTAGAGACACTACATACTGATATACACCTGAAACATCAGCAGGAGAGGACTCTTTAAAGTAGAGACACTACATACTGATATACAACCTGAACATCAGCAGGAGAGGACTCTTTAAAGTAGGAGACACTACATACTGATATACACCTGAACATCAGCAGGAGAGGACTCTTTAAAGTAGAGGACACTACATACTGATATACACCTGAACATCATCAGGAGAGGACTCTTTAAAGTAGAGACACTACATACTGATATACACCTGAACATCAGCAGGAGAGGACTCTTTAAAGTAGAGACACTACATACTGATATACACCTGAACATCAGCAGGAGAGGACTCTTTAAAGTAGAGACACTACATACTGATATACCACCTGAACATCAGCAGGAGAGGGACTCTTTAAAGTAGAGACACTACATACTGACATACACCTGAACATCAGCAGGAGAGGACTCTTTAAAGTAGAGACACTACATACTGACATACACCTGAACATCAGCAGGAGAGGACTCTTTAAAGTAGAGACACTACACACTGATATACACCTGAACATCAGCAGGAGAGGACTCTTTAAGTAGAGACACTACATACTGATATACACCTGAACATCAGCAGGAGAGGACTCTTTAAAGTAGAGACACTACACACTGATAAACACCTGAACATCAGCAGGAAGAGGACTCTTTAAAGTAGAGACACTACACACTGATATACACCTGAACATCAGCAGGAGAGGACTCTTTAAAGTAGAGACACTACATACTGATATACAACCTGAACATCAGCAGGAGAGGACTCTTTAAAGTAGAGACACTACATACTGATATACACCTGAACATCAGCAGGAGAGGACTCTTTAAAGTAGAGACTACATACTGATATACACCTGAACATCAGCAGGAGAGGACTCTTTAAAGTAGAGAACACTACATACTGATATACACCTGAACATCAGCAGGAGAGGACTCTTTAAAGTAGAGACACTACATACTGATATAACACTGAAAACATCAGCAGGAGGGACTTCTTTAAAGTAGAGACACTACGATACTGATATAAACACCTTGAACATCAGCAGGAGAGGACTCTTTAAAGTAGAGACACTACATACTGATATACACCTGAACATCAGCAGGAGAGGGACTCTTTAAAGTAGAGACACTACATACTGATATACACCTGAACATCAGCAGGAGAGGACTCTTTAAAGTAGAGACACTACATACTGATATACACCTGAACATCAGCAGGAGAGGACTCTTTAAAGTAGAGACAACTACATACTGATATACACCTGAAACATCAGCAGGAGAGGACTCTTTAAAGTAGAAGACACTACACACTGATATACACCTGAACATCAGCAGGAGAGGACTCTTTAAAGTAGAGACACTACATACTGATATACACCTGAACATCAGCAGGAGAGGACTCTTTAAAGTAGAGACACTACATACTGATATACACCTGAACATCAGCAGGAGAGGACTCTTTAAAGTAGAGACACTACATACTGACATACACCTGAACATCAGCAGGAGAGGACTCTTTAAAGTAGAGACACTACACACTGATATACACCTGAACATCAGCAGGAGAGGACTCTTTAAAGTAGAGACACTACATACTGATATACACCTGAACATCAGCAGGAGAGGACTCTTTAAAGTAGAGACTACATACTGATATACACCTGAACATCAGCAGGAGAGGACTCTTTAAAGTAGAGACACTACACACTGATAAACACCTGAAACATCAGCAGGAGAGGACTCTTTAAAGTAGAGACACTACATACTGATATACACCTGAACATCAGCAGGAGAGGACTCTTTAAAGTAGAGACACTACACACTGATATTACACCTGAACATCAGCAGGAGAGGACTCTTTAAAGTAGAGACACTACATACTGATATACACCTGAACATCAGCAGGAGAGGACTCTTTAAAGTAGAGACACTACATACTGATATACACCTGAACATCAGCAGGAGAGGACTCTTTAAAGTAGAGACTACATACTGATATACACCTGAACATCAGCAGGAGAGGACTCTTTAAAGTAGAGACTACATACTGATATACACCTGAACATCAGCAGGAGAGGACTCTTTAAAGTAGAGACACTACACACTGATAAACACCTGAACATCAGCAGGAGAGGACTCTTTAAAGTAGAGACACTACATACTGATATACACCTGAACATCAGCAGGAGAGGACTCTTTAAAGTAGAGACACTACATACTGATATACACCTGAACATCAGCAGGAGAGGACTCTTTAAAGTAGAGACACTACATACTGATATACACTTGAACATCAGCAGGAGAGGACTCTTTAAAGTAGAGACACTACATACTGATATACACCTGAACATCAGCAGGAGAGGACTCTTTAAAGTAGAGACACTACATACTGATATACAACCTGAACATCAGCAGGAGAGGACTCTTTAAAGTAGAGACACTACATACTGATATACACCTGAACATCAGCAGGAGAGGACTCTTTAAAGTAGAGACACTACATACTGACATACACCTGAACATCAGCAGGAGAGGACTCTTTAAAGTAGAGACACTACATACTGATATACACCTGAACATCAGCAGGAGAGGACTCTTTAAAGTAGAGACACTACACACTGATAAACACCTGAACATCAGCAGGAGAGTACTCTTTAAAGTAGAGACACTACATACTGATATACACCTGAACATCAGCAGGAGAGGACTCTTTAAAGTAGAGACACTACACACTGATATACACCTGAACATCAGCAGGAGAGGACTCTTTAAAGTAGAGACACTACATACTGATATACACCTGAACATCAGCAGGAGAGGACTCTTTAAAGTAGAGACACTACATACTGATATACACCTGAACATCAGCAGGAGAGGACTCTTTAAAGTAGAGACACTACATACTGACATACACCTGAACATCAGCAGGAGAGGACTCTTTAAAGTAGAGACACTACACACTGATATACACCTGAACATCAGCAGGAGAGGACTCTTTAAAGTAGAGACACTACATACTGATATACACCTGAACATCAGCAGGAGAGGACTCTTTAAAGTAGAGACTACATACTGATATACACCTGAACATCAGCAGGAGAGGACTCTTTAAAGTAGAGACACTACACACTGATAAACACACCTGAACATCAGCAGGAGAGGACTCTTTAAAGTAGAGAACACTACATACTGATATACACCTGAAACTCAGCAGGAGAGGACTCTTTAAAGTAGAGACACTACATACTGATATACACCTGAACATCAGCAGGAGAGGACTCTTTAAAGTAGAGGGACCACTACATACTGATATACACCTGAACATCAGCAGGAGAGACTCTTTAAAGTAGAGACACTACATACTGATATACACCTGAACATCAGCAGGAGAGGACCTTCTTTAAAGTAGAGCCACTACACACTGATAAACACCCTGAACATCAGCAGGAGGAGTACTCTTTTAAAGTAGAGAGACACTACATACTGATATACACCTGAACATCAGCAGGAGAGGACTCTTTAAAGTAGAGACACTACCACACTGATATACACCTGAACATCAGCAGGAGAGGACTCTTTAAAGTAGAGACACTACATACTGATATACACCTGAACATCAGCAGGAGAGGACTCTTTAAAGTAGAGACACTAACATACTGATATACACCTGAACATCAGCAGGAGAGGACTCTTTTAAAGTAGAGACACTACATACTGATATACACCTGAACATCAGCAGGAGAGGACTCTTAAAGTAGAGACACTACATACTGATATACACCTGCTCATCAGCAGGAGAGGATCTCTTTAAAGTAGAGACACTACATACTGATATACACCTGAACATCAGCAGGAGAGGACTCTTAAAGTAGAGACACTACATACTGATATACACCTGAAATCAGCAGGAGAGGACTCTTTAAAGTAGAGACCACTACATACTGATATACACCTGAACATCAGCAGGAGAGGACTCTTTAAAGTAGAGACACTACATACTGATATACACCTGAACATCAGCAGGAGAGGACTCTTTAAAGTAGAGACACTACATACTGATATACACCTGAACATCAGCAGGAGAGGACTCTTTAAAGTAGAGACACTACATACTGATATACACCTGAACATCAGCAGGAGAGGACTCTTTAAAGTAGAGACACTACATACTGATATACACCTGAACATCAGCAGGAGAGGACTCTTTAAAGTAGAGACACTACATACTGATATACACGTGAACATCAGCAGGAGAGGACTCTTTAAAGTAGAGACGTGTTATTAAAGTCCTGCTTGTGTTTCAGGGCGGCTGACGCTGAAGATCCCCTGGAAGAACCTGTACAGCGACGCTGTGGTCGCTACGCTGGACGGACTCTACCTGCTGGTGGTGCCCGGAGCCAGTGAGTGAGAGAGAGAGAAAACACCTCAAACACCTCAAACATGAGTGAACCCTCTCTGTTTCTGACGGCTGCACGTCATCATATTGATAAATGAATAATAGTGTTAGCACGGTTTCAAACCTGCTCTTTGAAACCTCTTTGTCCCACTCGTACTAACAAGTCCCACACAACTAACGAGTCCCACTCGTACTAACAAGTCCCACACAACTAACGAGTCCCACTCGTACTAACAAGTCCCACACAACTAACGAGTCCCACTCGTACTAACAAGTCCCACACAACTAACGAGTCCCACTCGAGCTAACGAGTCCCACTCGAGCTAACGAGTCCCACTCGTACTAACGAGTCCCACTCGAGCTAACGAGTCCCACTCGTACTAACAAGTCCCACTCGAGCTAATGAGTCTCACTCGAGCTAACAAGTCCCACTCGAGCTAACGAGTCCCACTCGAGCTAACGAGTCTCACTCGAGCTAACAAGTCCCACTCGAGCTAACGAGTCCCACTCGAGCTAATGAGTCTCACTCGAGCTAACAAGTCCCACTCGAGCTAACAAGTCCCACTCGAGCTAACGAGTCCCACTCGAGCTAACGAGTCCCACACAAACTAACGAAAACACCTCAAACACCTCAAACATGAGTGAACCCTCTCTGTTTCTGACGGCTGCACGTCATCATATTGATAAATGAATAATAGTGTTAGCACGGTTTCAAACCTGCTCTTTGAAACCTCTTTGTCCCACTCGTACTAACAAGTCCCACACAACTAACGAGTCCCACTCGTACTAACAAGTCCCACACAACTAACGAGTCCCACTCGTACTAACAAGTCCCACACAACTAACGAGTCCCACTCGAGCTAACGAGTCCCACTCGAGCTAACGAGTCCCACTCGTACTAACAAGTCCCACTCGAGCTAACGAGTCCCACTCGTACTAACAAGTCCCACTCGAGCTAACGAGTCCCACTCGAGCTAACGAGTCCCACTCGTACTAACAAGTCCCACTCGAGCTAACGAGTATCACTCGTACTAACAAGTCCCACTCGAGCTAACGAGTATCACTCGTACTAACAAGTCCCACTCGAGCTAACGAGTCCCACTCGTACTAACAAGTCCCACTCGAGCTAATGAGTCCCACTCGTACTAACGAGTCCCACTCGAGCTAATGAGTCTCACTCGAGCTAACGAGTATCACTCGTACTAACAAGTCCCACTCGAGCTAACGAGTATCACTCGTACTAACAAGTCCCACTCGAGCTAACGAGTCCCACTCGTACTAACAAGTCCCACTCGAGCTAATGAGTCCCACTCGTACTAACGAGTCCCACTCGAGCTAATGAGTCTCACTCGAGCTAACGAGTATCACTCGTACTAACGAGTCCCACTCGTACTAACAAGTCCCACTCGTACTAACAAGTCCCACTCGAGCTAATGAGTCCCACTCGTACTAACAAGTCCCACTCGTACTAACGAGTCCCACTCGTACTAACAAGTCCCACTCGAGCTAACGAGTCCCACTCGTACTAACGAGTCCCACTCGTACTAACAAGTCCCACTCGAGCTAATGAGTCTCACTCGAGCTAACAAGTCCCACTCGAGCTAACGAGTCCCACTCGAGCTAACGAGTCCCACACAAACTAACGAGTCCCACACAAACTAACGAGTCTCACTCGTGCTAACGAGTCCCACTCGAGCTAACGAGTCCCACTCGTACTAACAAGTCCCACTCGTACTAACGAGTCCCACTCGTACTAACAAGTCCCACTCGAGCTAACGAGTCCCACTCGTGCTAACGAGTCCCACTCGTACTAACAAGTCCCACTCGAGCTAATGAGTCTCACTCGAGCTAACAAGTCCCACTCGAGCTAACGAGTCCCACTCGAGCTAACGAGTCCCACACAAACTAACGAGTCCCACACAAACTAACGAGTCCCACTCGAGCTAATGAGTCCCACTCGTACTAACAAGTCCCACACAAACTAACGAGTCCCACACAAACTAACGAGTCTCACTCGAGCTAATGAGTCCCACTCGAGCTAACAAGTCCCACACAAACTAACAAGTCCCACTCGAGCTAATGAGTCCCACTCGAGCTAACGAGTATCACTCGAGCTAACGAGTATCACTCGGGCTAACGAGTATCACTCGAGCTAACGAGTATCACTCGAGCTAACGAGTATCACTCGGGCTAACGAGTATCACTCGAGCTAACGAGTCCCACACAAACTAACGAGTCTCACACAAACTAACGAGTATCACTCGAGCTAACGAGTATCACTCGAGCTAATGAGTCCCACTCGAGCTAACGAGTCTCACTCGAGCTAACGAGTCCCACTCGTACTAACAAGTCCCACTCGTACTAACGAGTATCACTCGGGCTAACGAGTATCACTCGAGCTAAGGAGTCCCACTCGTACTAACAAGTCCCACTCGAGCTAACGAGTCCCACTCGTACTAACAAGTCCCACACAACTAACGAGTCTCACTCGTACTAACGAGTCCCACTCGAGCTAACGAGTCCCACTCGAGCTAACGAGTATCACTCGTACTAACAAGTCCCACTCGAGCTAACGAGTATCACTCGTACTAACAAGTCCCACTCGAGCTAACGAGTCCCACTCGTACTAACAAGTCCCACTCGTACTAACGAGTCCCACTCGTACTAACAAGTCCCACTCGAGCTAATGAGTCCCACTCGTACTAACGAGTCCCACTCGAGCTAATGAGTCTCACTCGAGCTAACGAGTATCACTCGTACTAACAAGTCCCACTCGAGCTAACGAGTCCCACTCGTACTAACAAGTCCCACTCGAGCTAATGAGTCCCACTCGTACTAACAAGTCCCACTCGTACTAACGAGTCCCACTCGTACTAACAAGTCCCACTCGAGCTAATGAGTCCCACTCGTACTAACAAGTCCCACTCGTACTAACGAGTCCCACTCGTACTAACAAGTCCCACTCGAGCTAACGAGTCCCACTCGTACTAACGAGTCCCACTCGTACTAACAAGTCCCACTCGAGCTAATGAGTCTCACTCGAGCTAACAAGTCCCACTCGAGCTAACGAGTCCCACTCGAGCTAACGAGTCCCACACAAACTAACGAGTCCCACACAAACTAACGAGTCTCACTCGTGCTAACGAGTCCCACTCGAGCTAACGAGTCCCACTCGTACTAACAAGTCCCACTCGTACTAACGAGTCCCACTCGTACTAACAAGTCCCACTCGAGCTAACGAGTATCACTCGTACTAACAAGTCCCACTCGAGCTAACGAGTCCCACTCGTACTAACAAGTCCCACTCGAGCTAACGAGTATCACTCGTACTAACAAGTCCCACTCGAGCTAACGAGTCCCACTCGTACTAACAAGTCCCACTCGAGCTAATGAGTCCCACTCGTACTAACGAGTCCCACTCGAGCTAATGAGTCTCACTCGAGCTAACGAGTATCACTCGTACTAACAAGTCCCACTCGTACTAACAAGTCCCACTCGAGCTAACGAGTATCACTCGTACTAACAAGTCCCACTCGAGCTAACGAGTCCCACTCGTACTAACAAGTCCCACTCGAGCTAATGAGTCCCACTCGTACTAACGAGTCCCACTCGAGCTAACAAGTATCACTCGTACTAACAAGTCCCACTCGAGCTAACGAGTCCCACTCGTACTAACAAGTCCCACTCGAGCTAATGAGTCCCACTCGTACTAACGAGTCTCACTCGAGCTAACGAGTATCACTCGTACTAACAAGTCCCACTCGTACTAACAAGTCCCACTCGAGCTAATGAGTCCCACTCGTACTAACAAGTCCCACTCGTACTAACGAGTCCCACTCGTACTAACAAGTCCCACTCGAGCTAACGAGTCCCACTCGTACTAACGAGTCCCACTCGTACTAACAAGTCCCACTCGAGCTAATGAGTCTCACTCGAGCTAACAAGTCCCACTCGAGCTAACGAGTCCCACTCGAGCTAACGAGTCCCACACAAACTAACGAGTCCCACACAAACTAACGAGTCTCACTCGTGCTAACGAGTCCCACTCGAGCTAACGAGTCCCACTCGTACTAACAAGTCCCACTCGTACTAACGAGTCCCACTCGTACTAACGAGTCCCACTCGAGCTAACGAGTCCCACTCGTACTAACGAGTCCCACTCGTACTAACAAGTCCCACTCGAGCTAATGAGTCTCACTCGAGCTAACAAGTCCCACTCGAGCTAACGAGTCCCACTCGAGCTAACGAGTCCCACACAAACTAACGAGTCCCACACAAACTAACGAGTCCCACACAAACTAACGAGTCCCACTCGTACTAACAAGTCCCACACAAACTAACGAGTCCCACACAAACTAACGAGTCTCACTCGAGCTAATGAGTCCCACTCGAGCTAACAAGTCCCACACAAACTAACAAGTCCCACTCGAGCTAATGAGTCCCACTCGAGCTAACGAGTATCACTCGAGCTAACGAGTATCACTCGGGCTAACGAGTATCACTCGAGCTAACGAGTATCACTCGAGCTAACGAGTATCACTCGGGCTAACGAGTATCACTCGAGCTAACGAGTCCCACACAAACTAACGAGTCTCACACAAACTAACGAGTATCACTCGAGCTAACGAGTATCACTCGAGCTAATGAGTCCCACTCGAGCTAACGAGTCTCACTCGAGCTAACGAGTCCCACTCGTACTAACAAGTCCCACACAACTAACGAGTCTCACTCGTACTAACGAGTCCCACTCGAGCTAATGAGTCTCACTCGAGCTAACGAGTCTCACTCGAGCTAAGGAGTCCCACTCGTACTAACAAGTCCCACTCGTACTAACGAGTATCACTCGGGCTAACGAGTATCACTCGAGCTAAGGAGTCCCACTCGTACTAACAAGTCCCACTCGAGCTAACGAGTCCCACTCGTACTAACAAGTCCCACACAACTAACGAGTCTCACTCGTACTAACGAGTCCCACTCGAGCTAACGAGTCTCACTCGAGCTAACGAGTATCACTCGGGCTAAGGAGTCCCACACAAACTAACGAGTCTCACTCGAGCTAACGAGTCTCACTCGAGCTAACGAGTCCCACACAAACTAACGAGTCTCACTCGAGCTAACGAGTCCCACACAAACTAACGAGTCTCACTCGAGCTAATGAGTCCCACTCGTACTAACAAGTCCCACACAACTAACGAGTCTCACTCGTACTAACGAGTCCCACTCGAGCTAACGAGTCCCACTCGAGCTAACGAGTCTCACTCGAGCTAACGAGTCTCACTCGAGCTAACGAGTCTCACTCGAGCTAACGAGTCTCACTCGAGCTAACGAGTCTCACTCGAGCTAACGAGTCCCACACAAACTAACGAGTCCCACACAAACTAACGAGTCCCACACAAACTAACGAGTCCCACTCGAGCTAACGAGTCCCACACAAACTAACGAGTCCCACACAAACTAACGAGTCTCACTCGAGCTAACGAGTCCCACACAAACTAACGAGTCTCACTCAAACTAACGAGTCCCACTCGAGCTAACGAGTCCCACACAAACTAACGAGTCCCACACAAACTAACGAGTCTCACTCAAACTAACGAGTCTCACTCGAGCTAACGAGTCCCACACAAACTAACGAGTCCCACACAAACTAACGAGTCCCACACAAACTAACGAGTCCCACACAAACTAACGAGTCTCACTCGAGCTAACGAGTCCCACACAAACTAACGAGTCCCACTCAAACTAACGAGTCCCACTCGAGCTAACGAGTCCCACACAAACTAACGAGTCCCACACAAACTAACGAGTCTCACTCGAACTAACGAGTCTCACTCGAGCTAACGAGTCCCACACAAACTAACGAGTCCCACACAAACTAACGAGTCCCACACAAACTAACGAGTCTCACTCGAGCTAACGAGTCCCACACAAACTAACGAGTCTCACTCAAACTAACGAGTCCCACTCGAGCTAACGAGTCCCACACAAACTAACGAGTCCCACACAAACTAACGAGTCTCACTCAAACTAACGAGTCTCACTCGAGCTAACGAGTCCCACACAAACTAACGAGTCCCACTCAAACTAACGAGTCCCACTCGAGCTAACGAGTCCCACACAAACTAACGAGTCCCACACAAACTAACGAGTCTCACTCAAACTAACGAGTCTCACTCGAGCTAACGAGTCCCACACAAACTAACGAGTCCCACACAAACTAACGAGTCCCACACAAACTAACGAGTCCCACACAAACTAACGAGTCCCACACAAACTAACGAGTCTCACTCGTACTAACGAGTCCCACTCGAGCTAACGAGTATCACTCGGGCTAACGAGTATCACTCGGGCTAAGGAGTCCCACAGCAACAGGTCTTTGATCAGTAATGAGGACTTCTCTTTGTTTCAGCGATGAACTACGATGAGGTGAAGGAGGACCTCTACCAGCAGGAGGCCAAACAGAAGGAGCTGCAGCGCATCGAGGAGGCCATGCAGCTGGCTGCGTCCAGAGGTGAGAGGACGACCTCTGACTGAACTCTGACTGACCTCTGAATGTCCTCTAACCTCTGACTTCAGAATGACCTCTGACTGACCTCTGACTGACCTTTGACTGACCTCTGACTGACCTTTGACTGACCTCTGACTGACCTTTGACTGACCTGAATGTTCTCTGACTTCAGACTGACCTCTGACTGACCTCTGAATGTCCTCTAACCTCTGACTTCAGACTGACCTCTGACTGACCTCTGACTGACCTCTGTGTGACCTAAAATCTAACTTTGTGTCTGAACTATTCATGCTGCGTTCGCTGTCAGCGTCTCAAACGGGAGATTTGCTGTTCAGCTTGGAGAGTGTTGTTTACCAGGAGCCTCACAATGGTAACACACACACACACACACACACACACACACACACACACACACACGCACACACACTCCTGTCTGTTACTTCCTGTCTAACTCTCTTTTCTCTCTTTAACGCTGCCAAAGTCTCAAAAGGAAATAAAAAACATAAGAAGGTTAAAAAAAGCCTGAAGAAAAAACTCTGCGACAGAAACTCAGGTACCCCCCCCAGCCCACCCCCTCATTTAAATATGCTAATGCTATGCAGGTCTCATCAGGGTCAGGTCTCATCAGGTCTCATCAGGGTCAGGTCTCATCAGGTTCAGGTCTCATCAGGTTCAGGTCCGGCAGTGGCTCAGTCAGTAGGGGCTTGGACTGTGAGCCGTAGGGTCGCCGGTTCAAGTCCCCGACCAGACCTAAATATGGAGTGTGGACTGCTACTTGGAGAGGTCCCAGTTCACCTCCTGCCCTGCCGTGGTGCCCTTGAGCAAGGCACCGGACACCCCCCTTCCCCCCTCACTCCCATTGCTCCCCGGGCGCTGTACAATAGCTGCCCACTGCTCCTGGTCCTAGACTCCTGGTCCTAGACTCCTGGTCCTAGACTCCTGGTACTAGGATGGGTTAAAAGCAGAGAACACATGTCACTGTGTGAGCTGTGTTCTCTGCATGTGTGACCATTAAAGAGGGTTACATCCCTCAAATTCTTTTATTCTATTCTTCATCAGGTCTCATCAGGGTCAGGTCTCATCAGGGTCAGGTCTCATCAGGTCTCATCAGGGTCAGGTCTCATCAGGTTCAGGTCTCATCAGGTCTCATCAGGGTCAGGTCTCATTAGGGTCAGGTCTCATCAGGTCTCTTCCTGTCTCATTCAGAAAAGCCTCCGGACCAGAAGAAGGACTCGTTTGCAGAGAAACTGGCGACTCAGGTGATCAAAAACCTGCAGGTGAAGATCACTAGCATCCACCTGCGCTTCGAGGACGACGTGAGTACAGGTTCTGGTTCTGTTCTATATTGTGGTCCAGGTTCTGGTTCTGGTCTAGATCTTGGTCTACGTCCAGATCCAGGTTCTGGTCTTGGTTCTGGTTCTGGTCTAGATCTTAGTCTAGCTCCAGATCCAGGTTCTGGTCTTGGTTCTGGTTCTGGTCTAGATCTTGGTCTAGCTCCAGATCCAGGTTCTGGTTCTGGTTCAGTCAGCTCTTCAGCGTGATTCTGATGGACTCTGTGTTTGTTTCAGCTGTCGGACCCAGAGCGCCCCCTGTCTGTGGGAGTAACACTGTCTGAACTGAGCCTGCAGGTAACACACACACACACACACACACACACACACACACACACACACACACACACACATACACACACACACACACACACACACACTGATGTGTTGTTTTGTGTTCTGCAGACCACTGACGAAAACTGGAAGTCCTGTATCCTGAACGAAGCAGCAAAGATCAGCTATAAGGTGAAGAAGACTTTGAGATTTCTAAACTCTAGACTAAGACCTTAAAGAGATTAAATATTGCACAGCAAAATACAACTAGAGAATGCAATTCCTGAAGAAATTGCTAGTGGGAATGCTTTATGCTGAAAAGCTGACGCTGAACTGCTATTCTGAAATGTAATGTGTAAGAAGAAAGTGAATAATTTAGATTGAAATGATACATGAACACTGGGGGCTTGAATGTGTGATGAGTGAAGAAAGTAAAAAGGCTTGGAAAAGCAGCAGAATATTTGAACTGCAAACTTTTGAACTAACTTGATGGCGAATGATCTGTCGCCATGGCAACGGTATTTGATGACACCCCATAATACGCTTAGATGTTTTGATGGCTGCATCGTTACCAAACCTGTGAAGTTTTGGGCCGTTTGGAGCATTTTCACTGAAGTTATGAAAAAACCGTGTTTCATAGCGAGCATTGTGTTGCCATGGCAACGGCATTTGAAGACATTTCAAAACTGTCACGTAGATGTCTTCACGGCTGGACTGTTAGCACACGTGAAGTTTGAGCACTTTTTGATCACTAATGGCACATAGACTTGTTGAGGGCTGGACCATTAACTGTCATCTGAAGTCTGGTGGTGTTTTGACCATTTTCATATCAGTTTCGACAACATCGTGTTTTTTGGCGAGGGATGGTGAGATCTCAGATTTCGCGTAGAGCTGTTGAGGCATGGACCGGTGATATACAAGCGAAGTTTGGGGGCGATCGGACCGTGTCCATTGGAGTTACAGCGACATCGTGTTTCATGGTGAGGGATGCGTTTCCATGGAAACGGCATATGATGACACCCCATAATTGACATAGAGCTGTTGAGGGCCGGACCATTAGCACCCCCCCAAAGCAGTAAACCTAGGGGAAACACTGAGTGTTACACAAATAATGTCAGAAAGATGTGTAACATGTTAAAGTTGGAATGAGGTTTCTGAGTGAAAGTATGAATGAACAGTTAGCAGTTGAAGTCGCATGAAGATTGTTCAAGTCTGAAGAGTTTCTCCATTGACTTCCATGTTACAAATGCGATGCATTATGGGATGTATCTCTGGAATTATGAAAGTTATGAATAAGAAAAGTAATAGCCATCTATTCCTGACCGAGCTGAACGTTTTGATGTTTGAACGGAGTTTCTGCGATGTGGAATGTGGGAGAAGAAGAGGTGCAAAATAACCCGGTGGAATAATAAAGCATTTTTTTTTTTTTTAACTAAATTAAATACAGTTTCATCTAGTGATAACTATCAAGATAATACATTAAATACATTCTAAGATGCAACAAGATGAATGCTTTGGGTTATGGAGGCACATTACAAAGCTCAGGTGTTTAGCAGTCTTATGGCCTGTGGGATGAAACTGTCCCTGAGTCTGGTGGTTTTGGTCCTGAAACTGTCCCTGAGTCTGGTGGTTTTGGTCCTGAAACTGTCTCTGAGTCTGGTGGTTTTGGTCCTGAAACTGTCTCTGAGTTTGGTGGTTTTAGTCCTGAAACTGTCCCTGAGTCTGGTGGTTTTAGTCCTGAAACTGTCCCTGAGTCTGGTGGTTTTAGTCCTGAAACTGTCCCTGAGTCTGGTGGTTTTAGTCCTGAAACTGTCTCTGAGTCTGGTGGTTTTAGTCAGGATGCTCTCTATGGTGCACCTGTAGAAGGTTAGGATCCTCTCTATGGTGCACCTGTAGAAGGTCAGGATGTTCTCTTTGGTGCACCTGTAGAAGGTCAGGATGCTCTCTATGGTGCACCTGTAGAAGGTCAGGATGCTCTCTATGGTGCACCTGTAGAAGGTCAGGATGCTCTCTATGGTGCACCTGTAGAAGATCAGGATCCTCTCTATGGTGCACCTGTAGAAGATCAGGATCCTCTCTATGGTGCACCTGTAGAAGGTCAGGATGCTCTCTATGGTGCACCTGTAGAAGGTCAGGATGCTCTCTATGGTGCACCTGTAGAAGGTCAGGATGCTCTCTATGGTGCACCTGTAGAAGATCAGGATCCTCTCTATGGTGCACCTGTAGAAGGTCAGGATGCTCTCTATGGTGCACCTGTAGAAGGTCAGGATGCTCTCTATGGTGCACCTGTAGAAGGTCAGGATGCTCTCTATGGTGCACCTGTAGAAGATCAGGATCCTCTCTATGGTGCACCTGTATTGTCTTTTTGCACTGCTAATATTACATTACATTACATGTTACTTGTTAGACGCTTTTATCCAAAGCGACTTACATACTCAATACTGTGGGCAATCCCCACAGGAGCAATTTGGGGTGAAGTGTCTCAGGGACACAACGACATGCTGACTGCAGTGGGGTTTGAACCTGTGACCATCTGATCCCCAGACCAAGGCTCTATCCACTGTGCCACACGCCTCCCGTAGTAGCTTTCTGGGGTTCATTCCTGTACTCATCTGAATCTCCACCTCAGCTTGGTACGCACCTCACTGTTTATCCAGGGCTTTTGATTTGGGAATGTTCGTACAGTAACCTTCGGCACCAAGTCATCGATGCATTTCCCAATGTAGCAGATGACCGTGTTGTTGTCCTCAAACACACACCACTCCGTAGATTCAAAGCAGTCCTGCAGAGTCTGACTCCTCACTCCAGTGTGTATAGTCACCGGTCTGTCCCGTCTCAGTTTCTGTAGGAAGTATATATCCATGTATATCAGGTCCAGTGTGTATAGTCACCGGTCTGTCCCGTCTCAGTTTCTGTAGGAAGTATATATCCATGTATATCAGGTCCAGTGTGTATAGTCACCGGTCTGTCCCGTCTCAGTTTCTGTAGGAAGTATATATCCATGTATATCAGGTCCAGTGTGTATAGTCACCAGTCTGTCCCGTCTCAGTTTCTGTAGGAAGTATATATCCATGTATATCAGGTCCAGTGTGTACAGTCACCGGTCTGTCCCGTCTCAGTTTCTGTAGGAAGTATATATCCATGTCATATCAGTCCAGCGTGTATAGTCACCGGTCTGTCCCGTCTCAGTTTCTGTAGGAAGTATATATCCATGCATATCAGGTCCAGCGTGTATAGTCACCGGTCTGTCCCGTCTCAGTTTCTGTAGGAAGTATATATCCATGCATATCAGGTCCAGCGGTTGTATAAGTCACCGGTCTGGTCCCGTCTCAGTTTTCTGTAGGAAGTATATATCCATGCATATCAGGTCCAGCGTGTATAGTCACCGGTCTGTCCCGTCTCATTTTCTGTAGGAAGTTATATCCATGCATATCAGGTCCAGCGTGTATAGTCACCGGTCTGTCCCGTCTCAGTTTCTGTAGGAAGTATATATCCATGCATATCAGGTTCCAGCGTGTATAGTCACCGGTCTGTCCCATCTAGTTTCTGTAGGAAGTATATATCCATGCATATCAGGTCCAGCGTGTATAGTCACCGGTCTGTCCCATCTCAGTTTCTGTAGGAAGTATATATCCATGTATATCAGGTCCAGTGTGTATAGTCACCGGTCTGTCCCGTCTCAGTTTCTGTAGGAAGTATATATCCATGTATATCAGGTCCAGTGTGTATAGTCACCGGTCTGTCCCGTCTCAGTTTCTGTAGGAAGTATATATCCATGTATATCAGGTCCAGTGTGTATAGTCACCAGTCTGTCCCGTCTCAGTTTCTGTAGGAAGTATATATCCATGTATATCAGGTCCAGTGTGTACAGTCACCGGTCTGTCCCGTCTCAGTTTCTGTAGGAAGTATATATCCATGCATATCAGGTCCAGCGTGTATAGTCACCGGTCTGTCCCGTCTCAGTTTCTGTAGGAAGTATATATCCATGCATATCAGGTCCAGCGTGTATAGTCACCGGTCTGTCCCGTCTCAGTTTCTGTAGGAAGTATATATCCATGCATATCAGGTCCAGCGTGTATAGTCACCGGTCTGTCCCGTCTCAGTTTCTGTAGGAAGTATATACCCATGTATATCAGGTCCAGTGTGTATAGTCACCGGTCTGTCCCGTCTCAGTTTCTGTAGGAAGTATATATCATGTATATCAGGTCCAGTGTGTATAGTCACCGGTCTGTCCCGTCTCAGTTTCTGTAGGAAGTATATATCCATGCATATCAGGTCCAGCGTGTATAGTCACCGGTCTGTCCCGTCTCAGTTTCTGTAGGAAGTATATATCCATGCATATCAGGTCCAGCGTGTATAGTCACCGGTCTGTCCCGTCTCAGTTTCTGTAGGAAGTATATATCCATGCATATCAGGTCCAGCGTGTATAGTCACCGGTCTGTCCCGTCTCAGTTTCTGTAGGAAGTATATATCCATGCATATCAGGTCCAGCGTGTATAGTCACCGGTCTGTCCCGTCTCAGTTTCTGTAGGAAGTATATATCCATGTATATCAGGTCCAGTGTGTATAGTCACCGGTCTGTCCCGTCTCAGTTTCTGTAGGAAGTATATATCATGTATATCAGGTCCAGTGTGTATAGTCACCGGTCTGTCCCGTCTCAGTTTCTGTAGGAAGTATATATCCATGCATATCAGGTCCAGCGTGTATAGTCACCGGTCTGTCCCGTCTCAGTTTCTGTAGGAAGTATATATCCATGCATATCAGGTCCAGCGTGTATAGTCACCGGTCTGTCCGTCTCAGTTTCTGTAGGAAGTATATATCCATGCATATCAGGTCCAGCGTGTATAGTCACCGGTCTGTCCCGTCTCAGTTTCTGTAGGAAGTATATATCCATGCATATCAGGGTCCAGCGTGTATAGTCACCGGTCTGTCCCGTCTCAGTTTTCTGTAGGAAGTATATATTCCATGCATATCAGGTCCAGCGTGTATAGTCACCGGTCTGTCCCGTCTCAGTTTCTGTAGGAAGTATATATCTCATGCATATCAGGTC